AGCCCTTGCTCTTCATCCTTGATAGTCTCCCCTGCATTTAACAGCCTTGATACTTGCTCATTAAACTTGTTGATGTGATCAATTACGCTACCTCCCTCTTCCATCTTCAGTGAGTACAAGTCCATCCTCATCATCAACCGGTTAGTAAGTGTCTTCGACGCAAACTTGCTCTCCAACGTTTCCCACAGCTTCTTTGGTGATGTCTCTTTCAGCACTGTCACTTTAATCTGTGGGGACAGTGCCAACCGAATTGTGCTGACAGCCTTCTTCTGGATTGTACTCCACTCTGATTCTTTCATATCACTTGGCTTCTCATCTTGCAATGCTAAATCAAGACCTTGCTGGACCAAATAGTCTTGAATCGTGCATTGCCACAACATGAAGTCCGCTCTTCCATCAAATAACGGAACTTCAAACTTCAAGGTAGTCATAGTTCCACTCAAGCAGCAATCAACCAATACCAAACAATCCAAATTTGAGGAAACTGGCCTCAAAAATGGATTCAGGACGTCAAAATTAGTCAGAACCAACTTCTCTCCGAAAGTCACCAGCGGGACCCACACAATGACTGGACCTGCTGATGGCAATGGGACCCACTGATGACTGGACTCGCTGACGTGGTGCTGACTGGATGATGACGTGGCACTCACAGACCCACCTCTGCTGACTGGACCATCACCTCCTCCGCTAAAGTGGCACTCCCTCCTCTTGCTCCTTGCTCTATCTCCTTCCTCCCTAGACTGCAACTCTGTAATTAATAATTCTTTTCTGATGTGGAAGATAGTCAAAGCTGCAACCACAGAGCATACTAAGAATTATAATTACTAGATCACCCGGGCTCTACACCTTGGCTCTGATACCACTTGTTGGGCCTCCACTGCAAATAAATGGAAAGAAAAGAAAAGAGAGAACACAAATTTTTAACGTGGTTCGGCACCTCAAGACCTACTCCATGACCCCCCTCTGGGATAAAATCTCACTAGTAATTTTTGTACGGAAAAATTACAAACCCTCTCCAATATTTGGCACTCACAACCTAAAATCTAATACACAATTATATAGATTGAAGGATTGTGTTGTGTGATGGAAGCCTATATCTCCTCTTTATTTATAGGCTCCAATCCTTCCTCAATTTTCCTATCCCACCGATGTGGGACTTTGAAGTAACACTCAACAGACCTCTTATCTGAATTGATCAGACATTTGCCTCTGAATAGTTAAGCAATATACTAGCTCTTAATGGTTCAGACCTCTTACTGGTTCAGCACTTAATGGTTTAGACCTCTTACTGGTTCAGCACTTGTCTATTCAGAAGTTGCCAAACTTGCCTATTAAGTGTAACTACTATTAAATAAAAATATTGAAAAATATAAAATGTGCTTATTTTGACATCTACGTCAAAACAGTATAGATTAGTAATATTCTTGCTTATTTATTCATCCGACCATTGTCATCAATGTAACAAATATTAGTGGATAATAAAAAAATTTGTATTTAAATTTTTAGATAAAAAATTACAATATTTATTTTATGATGGTTATTACACATACAGAAGGAGAGAGATCGTCATCGGCGACAACCTCACATTGTCGAACACATTCGAAAAAGAATGTACTATGTGGTGTGACAAATGGTATTTTTATTATTATCAATTAAATATTTAATTTTTTCAATACATTTCTTTCAAAAAAATCATGTATAATGCTCCAAACAGGGAACAATTATGCACACACTCCATCGCGCTTTTATAACGCATGATATTAATTTATCTATCTATCTTTTATAACACATGATATTAATTTTTTGAAGGTGATAGTACAACAATTATCTTTTTGTGTTAACTAATTAAATGTATAAGATATATATTATAAATAATGTAAGCAAATACTATGTAAATTAATATGCTAGATACACTCGAATGTAATAATTATGTGCATGTTTGTACCTGTTGACTTTCAATAGAGAAGTTTGCCTCACGTACATATCTTAATATGGTTGCACCAAAGGGATAAATTTTAATCACCTGAGTCTATTGATCGTGTGATATTTGTAGAGGTTCCTAATAAAAACAAATATCCTAAAGTGTATGAGTCTGTAACTCGATTGATGATGCATGATGCATGTAGCATAGATGATTCTAGATCTCTATATATGGACAACGGTAAATGCAAGAAATAAATCCCAAAAATTTGTTGATAAGACATTGTTTAATGATAATGGCTACCCGATATACAAAGAAGAAACATGAGAGTCACCACAATAAAAAGTATATCGAGTTGGATAATCAATTTGTTGTGCGATACAACCCACAACTCTTGATGAGGTATCAAGATCACATTAATATTGAATAATATATCAATAAAATTAATTCAATCAAATATCTCTTTAAATATATAAATAAAGGTCTAGATAAAGTAATTCTCGCTGTTACTCAATCTAACTTTGATACTGTTGATAATATGGTGTATGATAAAACCAAGAAGTACTATGATTATCAATTTATCATTACGTATTTGCATGTGAAACTTTTTGGAGAATCCTCTCTTTTGATATACACTACAGGTGGCTAGCAGTACTAAGGTTGAATTTCCATCTCTCAACCTGAAATTTGTAACTTTTAGTGACCGGCAAAAGCTAAAAGATGTTGCCAAAGAAAGTGTAGATAAATATAGCTTCAATGTTTGAAGCTTGGATGGTTGCTAAGTTACTAGAGTATTTTGTGTATAACCACAAACAGCGAAAATAGTTCCGATGTAACAAAGATTATCAATATGTAGGCTCTAAATCTATAATACGTGCCTGCAGAAATAAGATGGTTATACTGCTTGAGAATACTAATAACTGTCTAGCGAGGATGTACAAGTTATAAGAACTTGAGGACAGTTAACAATTTTCTACATAACTCATTTGAGGAAGCATGTGAAACATTGGAGTTATGAACTGATGATAAAGAATTTATTGAAGGTATAAAATGATGTTCGTAAAAAAACAAATATATTGATATTTTTGAGAAGTTGTGCTTACTGCTTCCATGATCTTAAGGTCCGAAATGTGGATCTTAGGATCACGGGAGTATATACTAATAATTCCATACACATGTTGTTCATTAATGAAGTGATCGATTTCATAAGGTGTTTGGACATACACACACACACATATATATATATTCATCCCACCATGCGGTGCTTAAGCTTGGAAGTAAAGATAAAATAAGAACAAAAACGCAGTCTTACATTGCCAACTAAAAAAGAAAAAACCTTCCACTTAAAAGAAGATATAGAGAAAGACCAAGATCCCATATATAGGAATGGTAAACGACGGGACTAAAAGAAAAAAAACAGGGTACGGTACGTAATATGCATGCATGCATGGCGACTAAAAAATTTTAGCGACGTCTTTAATCAAACCGCGATTGGCGCGCGCGAAATCATTGAACTCCTGGAAGGAGATGAAGCCGTCGCCGTCGGTGTCGATCTCGGCCATCATGTGCTTCACCTCTTCCTCCGTCACCGACCCCAGCGTCTTCAGCGTCTCCCCCAGCTCCGCCGCCGAGATTTTCCCGTCGCCGTTCGCGTCAAAACGCTTGAAGATCTTTTCCCTGTCGGAAACATCCTGCGGATCATCGCCCATTCTTCTCCTCCGTCTGGTCTCGTGTGATATGTTTAATAATAATAATAATAATAATAATAATAATAATAGTAATAATGTCAAATTAAATAATATAAGGCAAAAAATGCTTTTCTATGTATATATGAGGACGACTTTGGGATGTTGAAAAGATGCTTTGATTTAAAAAGAAAAGTGATTAGGATTATGCATTATATAGGAAAAGGTTCGTTCAAATGTATGGCCACCCTTCGAATGCGTATGGGTTTGTGAGAAATCCGTGCAACACAGAGAGAGTTTATATTGTTTTTGTGGTTGATTGTGTGAACTATTTTGAGCCATTGATTAAAGTATTTTTTTTAGCCACAATTAAAGTATATTTGGTTTGAGGAGGAATTCGAGGGGAAAAGGAGAGAAAATGGTATGAAAAATACTATATAAATTTAACATCAATATGTTCTTATTCAAACTTAGTTTTGATTTTTTTTATATAAAATATACCTATGTATAAATGTATATACTAACGGTCAAAGTGTAACCTTAGATCCAATCCAGGAGGGGATGAGGATGCTAAAATGTGCGGGGAAGTATTCGACGACTTTGAATTATTACTTACTCCCTCCGTTTGGAAAAAGTGTTCCTCTTTTGACTTTGTGTAAAAATAAGGAAGTATTAAATTGTAGTTGACTTCCAATTTTGCCCTTGATGTGATAGGTTAAAGTAAGATGTGATGGATAAATTATTAGAGATAAAGTATGATGTGATAGGTAGAGTATGAAAAAGTAAGAGTAAAAGTGGTTTCTTAATAGAAAGTGGAAGTGTTTTGTTGGAAGTTAAAAAAATGAAAGAGGAAGTGTTTTTGAGAACGAAGGGAGTATTATTTAAATTATCTTATTACTATTTCGGGCATGATTCCCAAGTTGTGTTTTGAATATGAATTAAGCTTCTATGACTATTTTGAATATTACTCCGATAAATGTTAAACTATATTTTGAAATGTTTAATTGGATTGTTTGAAAAGTAAAGTAGTGTTTAGATACCAATTTAGTAGCAACCCGCTTTGCTAATCCGAGTATTTGGGTTATGCGGGTTGGGGTGTTACAACTATAACACCTTCTATATCACAAACACACACCGAAGGAGATGATGCAGAGGGTGTTACACTGCCTACTAGGCAGAATGTTGTTACAATAAAATGCATAAAAAAGAACACCATATATGTTTACACAGTTCGGAGAAACTCCCCTAATCTTCGAGGCCCACGTCAATGTAATAGCCCTCCACTAAGAGCCTGTTCTTTGGGGGTTAAACTCTTAACTTCCAAGTTCCTTCAAGTTTCTTCCAGTTCTTCCCAGTTCCTTCCAGTTCCTTCCAGTTTCTTCCAGTTTCTTCCAGTTTTTTCGAGTTCCTTCCAGTACCTTCCAATTTCTTCCAACAATTCTCATTTTCTTCAAACTCTTTCTACTCCCCAACCAATTACTTTAAAAACAATATATTTTTAATGTGCTTATTATTATTATTACCACTGTTATGTTTATAACTATTGTTTATAAATTATTTTTTTCATCTCACTATTTTTACGACCATATTATTTTTTTCTTCAACTTTTTAATATGAATAAAAAAATTTGTATATTAATATACATGATAAAACAGAGAAAACATCAATGTTTTAAATTATATTAAAAAATTATGGATAAAATAGTTACATAGAATGTTTTATTAATCTAACTTTATATAAGACCTCTCACCTTTCTCTTTATTACTCAAAATGTTCTCATTTTTCTAATTTTTATAAAAAAATTGAAAGTCAAAATAGTTTAGAGAAAAAACTGAAATAGGATTAAAACATAAAAAATGTAAAAAAAAGTTCTATGTCTTTATTCCAAAAATTGGACTTACAATGAAAATAAAATGTCAATTATGATAGAAAAAATAGGTTTGATTACATTATGTGACATTTTTGATATTTAAAACAAACTCTTGTAATATATAAAGTATAATTATAAATATATTATTTACAATAAATATTGCATAAATAAATTGAGGTTCAACATAACCACAAAAACTTTTTAAAATTTAACATTTTTATATTTATGCTAACTTTATATTATAATTATTTTTTTTTGCAAAAGTAGTTTTTGTATTTCAAAAATAACAATACTTTTTTTTATCTTAAAGACATTCATTAAGATAATGTGATGATGATGATGATGATGATGATGATGATGATAATATATAACAACAAGAATTAGAATCAGAATAATATAAAAGTATACTAAAATAATTTTTTAAAAGTGTTTTTAGGTTTTCCAATTTTTGAAGTTTTTCCAGTTTTTTCTAGTCCTTTCAGTTTCTTCTAAATTTTTCCAGTTTTATCAAGTTTCTTCCAATTCTTCTAGTTTCTTCCAGTTTCTTCCAGTTCCTTCTAATTTCTTCTAGTTTTTTCCAGTTTCTTCCAACATCCAGCTTTTTTTCTAATTCTAAAGAACAAGCTCTAAATAACTAGATGCAAGTTACAACGGTACATAACAACATTAGAGGCACACTTTTTCGAATTGTTGTGACAAAACTTCTAATATAGGATTTCTAACCCGAACCTCGTTCAGATTCGCTTTGGCTATCGGATCTCCACTGAGATCATGAGGACAAACGTGTTGGTAGCTCTCTCCTTAAGCTTTTGTTCATCTCCTGGTTGTCACGATCTATTTTTCATTGTAGAACTTCTTCTTCATGTAGATCGTAACTTTCTCCATGCAAGGTAAGTTCCGGGTCGCGAGGGGAATGCTGTAGATCAGCATGTATTCTGCAATCTTTCCCTCACAATCACTCCAAGGAATTCCCAGGGATCTTTTCCATTTTTATAGGCTTCTCCAAACACAATGAAGTTGTCTTGAATACAACCTCTATAATTTCAATCCACAAGAAACCTAAAGCCTTCTAAATACCAGTTGGATTTATTATAAATAAATCCCAGCATATAGTCACAATCCTAATAGGTCTCTGATTTTGAAATTTGCGTATTGCAGTTTAAAATTCTTTGCATAGACTTCTCATCCCGTATAGTGTGTTGCAACATTGTATTTTAGCATCTTCTGTGTCAACATCGAAAACTACAACGACTGTAGAAGTCTAAATAAAATAAACATCTCCTAACAAATAGATGTTTCTACCTGGTAAAATTTCCATCAAATAAGGGTTTCTATTTTTCCAAAAGATTAGGCAACACCTTGGAACTATTAATCTCCCCCTTTAACAACCGTGCACTATGCACATCAAAGGTTCAAGAAACTTTTTAAAACAAGGCCTTTTCTCCCCTTTTTGACAAAAAATATACCAAATTTATTAGAGTAAAAAAGAAAAGTTATGCCAAGTTCTTTTAAAGAACATACAACACTTACAAATGCAAAATAAATAGTCTACCATTAAGATAAATGCACATGCTTCCCATCTGATTTTTCTGCTAGGGCTCCACCCCTTTTTTCATAAAGTGCATGCGCTAACTCTTTTTCAGATCATCATGATTGTTCGCAATGAACCACCCAATGATCAAGATAATAACTTAAGCTCAACCGCTCCAACACCAATTATATGTTCGTGGGGTGCAACAGAAATCACTAATTGAAAGCTATGCAATCAAATCAATCAACTATGATGTAGAGAAGATATTGCAACACTGTCACAGTAAAAGATGACAGAGAATGTGTTATAACGCCTTCTCCGTCACAAGCACAAAGAGAAGTAGATGATGTAGAGGGTGTTACAATGCCTACTAGGTAGAATGTTGTAACAATAAGATGCGTAAAAAGGAACACCACATATGTTTATGTAATTCGGAGAAACTCTCCTAATCCGCGGGGTCCAGTTCCGTGTAATAGTCCCCCACAAAATTACTATATGCAAGTTACACCGATACATAACAACATCATGATGATACACACCTCTTCTTAAGCTCTTGTTCATTTCCTGGTTGTCACGATTTGTTTTTCGTTGTATGACCCCTTCTTCATGTAGATAATAACTTTCTTCATACAAGGGAAGGTTGAGGACATGATGAGAATGCTCTATATTAGCATGTATTCTATGATTTTTCCCTCATAATCGCTCCAAGAATTCCCAGGGATATGCTGCATTTTTATAAGCTTCTCCAAATACAATCTTAGTTGAAATATGTTAGTAGAAGTTGTCTTGAATACAACTTCTTTAATCTTGATCCATAAGAAACCTAAAGTCTTCTAAATACCAGCTGCTTTATGATAGATAAATCCTAGCATGTAGCCACAATCTCAATAAGTCTCTGATTATGAAATTGCAGATTGCAAGTAAAAATCTCGTGGACAGACTTCTAATCCTGTAAAGTGTGTTGCAGTATTGTGATGTAGCATCTTTTGTATCAACCTTGAAAACTGCAGCACCTCTAGAAGTCTAAATAAAATAAATCTCTCCTAGTAAAAGTCCTATCAAGTATGCGTTTCCATTTTGCCAAAATATTAACCAACACCAACATCCACATGGTTGTTACCCACCTTGAGCATGCCCATCACGCCATCACATCCTTCCCCATATTCAGAACTTCTCACCCCATTGCCACTGGACTCTTCCCCTTTTGGCCCAATTATATTATGTGTTTCTAAATAACATGAGGGTGAAAGAAAATAAAGAATATAATAACATAGAAGTTTTACCTTAATTATAAATAGTAATTGCAGTATTATACCATCCATGAAAAAACTTACATTGTATAAGCATACATTGACAAATGATGGATATATGGCTCTCCTCCATATTCCAAATATAGAAGAGACCCTAAAGGTGGGACAGTATATCTACTCCCTCCGCCCCATTAAGTTTTACACATTTTGACTTTTAATAAAAATAATAAAATCATATTTTTTTCATTGACCTCCCCATATTACCCCTTACCCTAATGTAAAGGTAGGAATGGAGCGACATATTTTAATATTATATTGTTTTGCAAGTAATGTATATGTCAATGACTCAATGGTGGCTTAACTCATCGCATATGGTTTGGTATTTAGCAGTCCATTTTCTGGTGTTTAGGCCATCCAAATTCCTCCAAAAAGGCCAACACAACTCCATTCGACCATCCGAAACCC